AAGGTTTCTGTTTGATTTTTCAATAATTTTTAAGATAGCTCAGTTAAATTTCTAGTTCTAGTAACTTGTTGTTTTTCTCATTTTGTTTATTGTTTCTTTATATTTCTTCAATATGGTGAGCTTCCATAAAATAATTATTTTGAATTTATTGTCAGACAGTTTATACATTTTCATCTTTTTAGAACGAGTTACTGATACTTTATTTTCTCCATTTGGTAGTATCATTTTCCCCTAATTATTCATGATCCTTGTGGTCATGTGTTGATGCCTACAAATTGAACAAACATTTTTTCCAGTTTTTGCCATATGGGTTTGTCTGAAAATGCCTTTCAAAATAAAGCTCGTCCAGAGATTCTGGGAAGGTTCTTTGGTGTGGTCCCTAAGCCCACAACTCCTGTAGCCTTTTCAGCGCTAGGTAGTGCCCTTCCCTCAGAACCACCATGGTTGGTGTGGTGCCATGCTGGAATTCCATGGCTGGTGATGCTTGCATAGTGCCAGGGTGTACCTGCAGCCCATGGCTGCTGAAGCCTTCCAGTTGCTGAGGTTTGCACAGAAACTGTGGTCACTGTACTTGGCCACTGATGATGCAGGTCAAAGATTTTGCACAAACTATGCATTCCCTCCTGGCACTGAGACAGGCCAGAAGGCTAAATTCATGGATACCAGCCTGAATTCAGAGGTCATAGATGCCTGGCTGGTGTTGGGTTTTACTGTGGTGGGCTCAATGTTAAGGACCAAGGCAAAATCATGTGTTCACTTCCCCATCTTTCTTTAAGCTCATTATATATTTCTTTGCATTGCACTTCCTGAGGTGGCTGGAGGAATGAAACAGGTAATGTCAAACTGTCCTTCCTACCCTCTTCAATTTATCTTTTCCTGTCACTATGCCACAACGAGATACTGCAATCTCCCAGCTGGTTTCATTACCTCTTGCCAGGTAGTTTTGTGCATGTATAGTTGTTCAAATTGATGTTTCTGTTGGGGTAGTGACAATCATTGGAGGGTCCTATTCTGCCATCTCACTCAACTCAATCCTAAACAGATGGTTTCTAGGTTGTATATTTTGAAATGTATTTGTTTGATGCTATGAAACATAGACTAAATCAGGTCATTGCGTCAGCTGATATCATATGAATATCCAAATTCATTAAGATACAACTCTCGGGGAACAAAAAAGAAAATTAATTTATATACACAATGAATCACTTCATATCTAAATTCAGAGATTACAATTCAAAGCAAGTATGGTAAATCATTTTTTTAAATAATAAGACTATTTAGTTTAGTTTTTTTTTTTTTTTTTTTTTTTTTTGAGATGAGGTCTTATTATGTTGCCTAGGCTGGCACGCAATGGCTATTGACAGGTTCAATAATAGTGCACTGCAACCTCAAACTCCTGGTTTCAAGCAATTCTCCAGCTTCAGCCTTCCAAGTAGCTGTAACTACAGGTTCCCAGCTAAGACTACTTAAATGTTTTGTATATATATGTGTGTGGGTATTTACAAATATATGTGAATTTTATAAAATTACATATATTTTGTGAATAATCTGTATACTTGAGTGAAGAATACCATGATAAATACATATCTAAGTGGAAAATAAACATATAATTTTGACAAGGCAACATTCAAACAAGAGCAAACTATATTTAACTCTGTAATAGTTATATATAAAGATAAAAATCAGAGCCAAATAAAAGGCAATATTTAGTTGCAAGGATGTGAAGTATATAGGCACAAGGGATATAAAAATGAGGTCAGATTAAGATAAAGATGATTCCACCAAGACCAATAGAAATTTCCTTCAAGATTTAAGATGTACCCAACATAGCCAAATATTTGACACCTGTAACCACTATTCCACCCTATTTACCTATAGTTGCTCAAAAGGAATTCCAAACAGCAGACAAATAAATTATATTGTCCCAGTAAGTAAGTAGAGAGGAATGAGAAGTCATCTTTACAAAAAGTGTGACATTTGGTAGAGAGGGGAGATATTGCTAAAGCTGACTACAGAGTAGAAGTCATGTGGAAGACAGTCAGCACACTCAGTTTATATTTCCAATGATTCTTTGACCAGGGTTGCCTATACTTCAAGTTTTGTTTAATAGTATGCCTCAGCAACTTAAACAATCTTTTTTTTTTTTTTTTTTTGTATTTTTTGGGGATGGAGTCTCGTTCTGTCATCCAGGCTGGAGTGCAGTGGCATGATCTCGGCTGACTGCAACATCCACCTCCCGTATTCAAGCAATTCTCATGCCTTAGCCTCCCAAGCTGCTGGAATTACAGGAAGCTACCACCATGCTTGACTAATTTTTGTATTTTTAGTAGAGATGGGGTTGCGTCATATTGGCCAGGCTGGTTTAGAACTCCACCTGCCAAAGCCACCCAAAGTGCACGTATTACAGGCGTGAACCACAGTGCCCAGCCTACTTAATCTCTTCAAAAGTTAAAGGTGGACAATTATATGTAGGGTCTTCTATATCGTATTTCTTAAGAAGTAGAATATAGACAAGATTTATATATTGATAAAAATATAATGTTTGATCACACACAAACACATACATATGCATGTATGCACTGAAAAAAATATAGAAAACTTTAATTCTCATTCTGTCTTTAGAGAAAAAATTTCTTTGAGTTAAACAAAGTCAAATTAAAATATGTGCCCCAGGAAACAAAGAGCTTGTGACTTAGACAGGAGTCAACTTACTTCAACTCCTTTGGGTTAGAGCCATTAAAATTTGGATGTAAACTTTCTATATACGTTGTATGAGATGTTTCAATTCCAGACCTCGAAACAAGTGTAGATCATTAATTTGCGTCTCTATTAAGGTAAAAGTTAAATAGTTTGAAGAAAATGACAGAAATTCTGAGAGCATAATGCAATTTTAGAATTTAGCTTTAAACTATCTGGTTTCTAAGACAAAAAAGAACAAAAGTAAAAAAAAAATTATTCTACATCTTCTAAAGCAGATCTATGGAATGAAGTTTGAAGTCATGGGCAGGAACCTTTAGCTAAAAATTAAGTAATTTTCAAGAAGGCAAAGAAGATTGATCAATAATGCTAAAATATGCTTCTACAACTTGGCTCCGTTATGAGATGTACATTTATTAAGAAAATTCTGAGTTATTGGTATTTTTCATATATATAAGTCATTATCAGAACTCTGAAGTAGCACTAAAAATACAATAAAAGAAAAAACACATCATACTGATTTATTTGTAAATTCACAGAAAAAAATAAATTTAAAACAGTTATCATCATGTAACACAAGAAAAAAATTTGTTTAATCTTTTCTATGTGGACCCCAAACTGATAAACACATGTTAATGTCTTATATTTGGGAGTACTCTTTTTTTATTTATTTTTATTTTTTTGAGATAGAGTCTTGCTCTGTCATCCCGGCTGGAGTGCAATGGCGTGATCTCAGCTCACTGCGACCTTCGCCCCCCAGGTTCAAGCAATTCTCCTGCCTCAGTCTCCTGAATAGCTAAGACTATAGGCATGTTCCACCATGCCTGGCTAATTTTTTGTTAGTAGAGATGGGATTTCACCATGTAAGCCAGAATGGTCTGGATATCCTGCCCTCATGATCCACACACCTCAGCCTCCCAAAGTGCTGGGATTATAGGTATGAGCCACTGCACCTGGCTGGGAGTATTCTTAATGTGTGAGAACTTACTTATGCCTGTTAATATTTTCAGAATGGACTAAAAAAATGGGACTACGTCATACTAAAAGTTGCTTTCTCATGAATAGAAAAGTCTAGTATGAGACAAATGGTTGAGGTTCATTTTTGTTTTTGCATGTGATGTTGTTCTTCATGGGTATTCACAGCAATCAGCTCTAAGTCAGTATTTCACAGAGTATGGGTTACAAAGTAATTTAATTGCTGTCTGTAAAGAATAATGTGTTAGGAATACTAAAGGATAAAGACTGGGAATAATTTACTTTCAAACGTTGTACTTTAAAAGTATGTTGGAGCAGATTTGTAGGTATGTAGCACTAAGGTCATGTTTCCTTTCACTCAGGTGTGTTTAGTATTTAGCTGTGGGAGAGAGAAATAGGTGGAGCTGGAGTTGTCTTACAGAGGATTGTGCAGTCTGAGTGCCTACATTTGGATGTATCACACAGGCAAAAATGGACCAAGACTAGGTGTATACACTATGAATACAGAAACAGAAAGAAGAACATTCCTTGAAACAGTGAACTAACTTGGTTAGCTTCTTAATTTTCTTTTAATCTAAAAACATAATATGTATTGTTATTTCAAAGTTTGTAAATAAAATTTTACAGTAGAAGGACTTGGTTCTCTTATATAGTCTATTTATGAAACCAAATTTTACCATTAAGAAATTATTTTAAGTAATTCCAAAGAGACGTTTCATTAAAAAGTTGATAAAAGCATGGGGAGGTGTTCGGTGATCTATATACATGAATGTGTAACCTCTATACGTGAGTGAAGAAAGCCATAAGCCAAACACAAGTAGCTGCAGCTCTGAGTGTGGATACTGGAGATTTTGGCAAGGGTAGATAGCAGTCGTCAGCCTATCAGCTCTTAGGAGAGTCAGTGATGAAGATAGATTCACCAAGCTCTGGTACCGCCAAAGTAGGAGAGACTGTTCCTCGAAAAGGCAAGTGGCTAAGAGCTTTCTGGAACATTAGGCACACAAATATAAGATATATCCAATCATTCCCAAACGTAACTAAAGTATTAGAAGAAAAAATAGCATAATACAAGATCCCACTTGAGACTTTTCAAAAGACTATCCTCACAAGTATTTTTAATTTGAAATATGTATATATTAATACTTAGAGTGTAGATAGCATAGCAGTAGTCTACAAATCCGACTTTGGAAAATACTTTATATTTCAGAGAGAAGAATAAGAATAAACAAGAGGAGGTGGAGGAGAAGAGAAAAATGTAGAGTTGGGAAGGGAAAGTGGAAAGGGAGGAAAGAGGGGGAACAAAGTACTAAAAATAGCTTTAGTCAGTCAAATATACCAACATTCTAACTTGTGTGTTTGGAAAATTCTGTTATTTGGATGGATCAGTCATTAGTGGTGTTGTATGGCTTGAAGTTGACTGTATTAAATGGCAAAACTCAAATACAAATTGAGATTTTAGTTTTCTCAGAAATATTTCTCACAACTGATATCCGCTACTGTAACATGGTTTTAGAGTACCCCACAGTGCTTTCATTCAATACGTTTTTTGAACATCTAATATAGTTGTCATTTGAAGCTATAGCAGAGTTCTACATCCAAAAGAAGTACAACAATACTACTTTAGAGCAAAGTAAGCTAAATAATTAATAAATCCATAAATATATAATGTTTAAAATCTCCTTACATTAACTTACTCCTAAGTCTGATCTAGAGTATAAAAATATTATCATAGTAGAAATCTATGTAAGGAAAGGTTGTGTCAATCTGAAGAAGACATGACAGAAAAAGCAGCCAAGGAAAAGGAGTTACTAAACACACAGTGACAGTGACTTCCAGGCACTGTGCTGGGGAGATGGTCTCACAAAAAAGAGCAAAGGGAAGGTTTTATCTGGAGCATGTAGATGCATTAAATTTAAGGCAAAATCTCAGCCTAATTCTTCTAAACAGATCTCACCATTTGAATTGCCTGATCACTAAACAATATCCTGGCAATTTACTTTCATTCCATGTCGCATCTAAGTCAGTCAATCTTAATGGTGCCTGATTAAATGTTTATTGAGGTATTTTTCACTTAAGATTAATAACTGGGGACTGTGGTTTATATACATTTCTGTAAGTTTATGCCAGCTGGAGACAAATTGACACCCACCTTAATAGCGATGTACCTACAGATTCTTTCAAATTTCTAAAAGTACATGGGAGGTACTTTTCAGGAAAGAGTTATGTTGAACAGCTTGACAGTAAAAAGGTTCTCTGTAACTTTTTTCTAACAATACACACTGGAGTGTGGAACTCAGGATAAAATAATTCTATTGAACTCTGCTCAATATGCCTTTTTTTCCTGAAGTAATAAAAGAACATCTGTAGTATTCAATCTTCTCTATGGAGCAACTTCGCCAAACAGATATTAAGAAAATCCTTTTTTCTCTTCCCTCTTTCTTCCAGAAACATTTATTGAAAGCATGTAAATATTCCAGGCAATACAAGAAGAGCTGAAACTGCAGAGACTCATGTCTACTCCATCTAGTACAAGTGGACAGTCTTGAAAAGTAAAAATGAAAATATATACAAGGTTGACAAATCAATTCTCAGCGGAAAAGATGAGGATTGAGCAAGCTCTAGAATAATGCAAGGCTGCACTTTATCAGGCTAAAGGCTCTCAGCCAAGAAAGATGTATTTTTAGTACAAATCTTGTATTTGATTTTTTTGTATCTGTATGTGTTTTTTTTTGTATATTTATGACTTTTATTATTTGTTGACATCCTGTGAAAATATTGCTATCCATTAAATGTATAATGTTCCCCCTATGGCAATAGTAGATAAAATCAAAGGCATAAATAATGAAAAAAATGAACTTAATTTATAACTCATGTGGTTAGCCAGGTTTTCCAGACAGAAATTTGAATTTATACTTATTTATATAAGGCTAAGCATATATAACAAAGCTTTGAGGTAATCCAGTTCTCATGAAGCCTGATTTCCTAAACTCCTATAATGTCAATAAATTTAAGGATAAGATGGTTTACTTGCTTTCTCCTCAGGGAAATGTACTCTATGCTAGTTAATAGGGTATAAAGAATATGACAAAGGGAATTCTACTCCTATAAACGTGTATAAATTCTAAATCTAATGAGGAAGTTTTACTTATACATAAACACCATATTATTAACAGCTTAGAAAGTTGGCTAGAAAGAGTGACACAATTTTAGATTTTAATTTATAATTTCAAAGCATTTTCCTGATGAACTCTAAAGAGAATACAAGAGTGTACCAGCTACCAGAAAGCAAATATAAAAGAAACCCCTTGCTGACAAAGCAACCTTTTATCCTTGGTATTTTATCTATGTCCTAGAGGAGAATCAACAGGCGAAATGTCACTGCAAATCAAATGTCTTCATTCTAGACCTCATTTTATTACATTCTAATTTATAAGATAAATTAATGTCCTTAAAAATAATAAAGTTAACAGGAAAATCAGATAGTGCAAAACAAGCAAACAAAGAAAAACCCCTTAACTCTATGCTGATTTTCACATTCAGGGAGATTATGCAAAAGATCAAAGGGATTTAATGAGAAAAATGTTAAACTTAAAATATACAAAGTATGCATCATCTCACTTTGTACATATTTGCATTTAATTTTCATGGAGAAGGACTGATTTATATCTCTACTCAGATGCTGACTCTGGTTAAAAATATCATCTTTATTAAGTCTCTACCAGCCATCAAACAAACAAGTACATTTTAAAATAGTATCCCCACCCTACAGGGTTCCAGTAAAGGAAATAATAAAGTGAAATATGAAAAAAAAAAAAAGATTGTTCTTTGAGAGGAAGAGACCTAATTAAAAGGAGGCCCTAACAACTCCATGGATTAATTGGGAGCCAGCTGAGATAATTGGACCTATGGGAGTTTGATTACACCCATCATAAACTGCTTTTTTCACAAGTATAGGTTAAATGCTTGATGCTTTAATTGTGTGTAGCACTACAATGAAAGTAGGGATAATATAGAAAAATTAATATTTGAAAAGCAAACTCCTGAAGTTTTTTGGCATCGTTAGTAGCAATATTGTTTTTTTTTCAAATATGCAATTTTTCTAGGTTTTTTGGAGCCACTTTCATAAGAGTGTGGTTGCAATTCTATCAAACAAAATATACTTTTGCTATTAAAAGTTGACCTGTAGACCACAGGTAGCTGCTTTGCAATTAGAAATTCAACAAGACCACATCACTCTGCGATTGAAATTAAAATGGGCTGCTGTTTTTAAAGACGATGTCCTTAAATGTTCATTGCAACAAACATTGGCTTTCAATTACATGATTTTCCAGGAAATAGAACCATAGAATTGTAGAGCCTAAGGGAACCTCATCGATCATTTATCTGGCCAAACCTCCTATTTTTACAGTTGTGGGATCTGACTTGAAGACAAAAGGTTGAAAGTTCTAGAAAAAAGCTAGGTTTTTATTAGGGGCTAGAAGATGTAGGGGCTTATCAGAGGGCAAGGCAGGAGGGAGTAATTTCTTTTTGAAAATTAGTGACTGAGAAAGGAGCAGCCATTTGCATACATCTCAAAATCTCCTGCTTCTGCAATACTTTATAAACAAGTCTCTATTGAGGGAAGTATGGAAGTGGAAAATCGAGAATCACTTCATTTGCACTGGGAAATAGGATCACATGCATATTTTAATAGTGAACAGATATTCCTTTTGTTAGGATGAAGGCAGAAGCAATATTAAATTATTACTATAGATAGAAAAGATATTAGCCATATACTCCAAGTAGGTGAATAGGTCAGCTTAATGAATAGGGAGGAGAGTGAGGGATAAAAGACTACGTATTGGGTAGACTGTACACTGCTCCAGTGATGGGTACACCAAAATCTCAGAAATTACCACTGAAGAACTTATTTATGTAACCAAAAAAAACTGGTTCCCCCAAAAACTACTCAAATGAAAAACAGGATAGGTTTACTAGCAGCCTCTAGCATCTATAGGTTTTAGCAGTAGGCCCAAAAGTCTTAGACTAAGCCACCATCATCTCTTAAAAAGACAGATCTATGACAGTGTGCTGGATATTTCCCTTTCTCCACCTGCTTCCTGCCTAGTAGGCTAACCCCTCTAGACAGATTCAATAGGGGATTCCTGCCCTCCAACTTTTTTGGGGGTCCAGACAATGGGATATCATCAGGTGATCAGTGGTGGGCAGAAATACAAGTGTGAATAAATAAACCCAGGGATAAGTCATCAATGGGCTGTTCTTGAAATCAATCTGGCCCTCCAACCAAGGCTACAGATCCTGCCAGACAGCCTCTTCTACTTATACAGCAATCGTTCTTTTTCCCATTCTGGCAAACTTCCTTCTTTGGCTTTCTGGACTAAAAATCCCCATTTTTGTCTCTTCAAGACTGTTCTGTACACTGAAGCCAGGAAACCTTTCAAAAACACAAATATGGTCACTGATAACTCCTAAATTCTTAACGTAAGTTCAAAAACACAGTAGACTCTGGCTGCTTTTCATCACTCTAAGTTCACCTGATTTAACTCCTAGATATCTTTCAAGACTCAGTTTAAATGTCACATTTTGATATGTCTACTGTGTTCCAGTATGCCTGTTGTGTCCCTCTACGTCTTCATAGCAGTCATCTGAAACTTATTTTTATTTACTTATTTTTTTAAGAGAGGGGGTCTTGCTAGATTGCCGAGTCTAGAGTGCAGTGGTTATTCACAGATGCAGTCGTGATACACTACAGCCTCAAACAGCTGACCTCAAGTGGTCACCCTACTTCAGCTGCCTCAGTAGCTGGGACCACAGGTGTGCACCACAGCACTTGACTCATTTGAATCTTAGTATATTAATTTGTTCAATTAGCTTTTGATCTATAGAAAAATATGTTTCATTTTCCTCTTTCCTTCCCTCCCTTCCTCCCTTCCTCCCCTCATTCATTTCTTCCTTCCTTTTATCATAGGTCATTGTCATTTAGTCTTTTTGTCTCTTCAATTTGTTCTTCTTTTTATAAATAGTTTTCCATGGTTCCTACCCTCCTGGATTTTACATTTGACAAGAGAGGCAGATATTAAGCCATTAAGTACAATAGTAATAACTCAATTACAATCATGATAAGTGCTAGGAAGACAAGTTTCAAAGTCATATGCCACCTTTCCTGAATGAACATCAGAACCTAAAACAGAAACTGGTAGATAATAAATTGACCGGCAGTGAGGTTAGGAGGCAGTATAGAGTTTTGATATAGAACATCAGTTGTGCAGCCAATTCTAATTAGATTCAAATTTCAGACTCTGACTTTTGCTACCGATATACATTAGGCAAATGGACTTATCTCCATAATTCTCAGTTTTCCAATTATAAATGACACAAAATTTTCCCCATGGAATTAGCATCAATATTAAATGAGAATAAGTTACATACGTCATTGAAAAGAGACCCTGTTAGACATGTTGCACTAAAATTATGGTAGTATTTTTAGAAAACCACAGACATCTTCGTCTATGTGTAGATTTTTAGAAAAAAGAAAAACAAATTCAAACGTAATCCATTTCTTTTCTATTTTTAGCAGACTATCACGATTTAAATTAACCATAATTAAAATTTCACAAAAACATGGAACAATTGAATTCTAAGCACAAGGCATAAGGTAGCCAACATTCTGGCATAAGGAATTTGGAAAAAATATTATATCAGCTTCAGAAATACAGCTTTATGTACAAGAAGCCACCTGGCACATGCAATAAAACAACTTTATTAATACAGTATGTTACATGCATAAATCTGATCAGGTTTTCTCTAGCAATCATCCTGTGTGCCTCAAGACACCTACAGTAGGAGAAGTCATGTTTCTATCCATTCTCAAAATTCCCATCTTTTGTGGCATCATTTGAAGTTAATTTGCAATACAAAGTTAACTCACACCTCATTATCAGTGCCACAATTTGTTTACATGCAAGTTTTCAATTTCTAGCTCATTTTTTCCTCATTTATAAAATTATTTTTGGATTACTTTTCTGTTTAGTAAATTGTAAGCAAATGAAAGCTGTGTGCTATTCTTTTATATTATAGTCTATTATTGAAGTGTTTGTTTGAATTGTCTCTGAGAAAATTAATTCAATAAAACATTATTTGCATTTTTATTTTCCATATTTTATACCACATAAACTGATACATAAATACCCTAACATTAATACCCTAACATGGTATTAATCTTGGTTGAAATGTAATATTTCTGAATGTCACAAAGGGGCTCAACATAAACATAATATAATATTTTGATAAAATAAAAAATAAGACTAAGAAAACATCAATGTAAATCTTGCAAGTTGAAAATATTTTGATTGTTCATTCTCAAATATTAAATATATAATTTTTTAAGCAAAGTATTATCAAGCATACAAATGTCATGGGCTATCACTATTTGTATTTGGCATTTTAATGTCTCTGCTATCTATATATAGGTCCATATTGTTTGGTGGAAAGAAAATCAGAAAAAACTACATGTCTCACAAGTATAGTTTCAGTCATTTAAATTTAGTTGATTACAAAGGATGCCAGTGACACTCTTAAGTTTAGCTTGATTAGACATGAACCTGAATAAATTAAACTAAATGTGTAACTGGTGGAATTTTGCTTTTTATAATAATATGAAGTATCCATTCAACCACATGACTGATGCTAAGTCAGCCAGCTGGTGTGTCTTTTATGTATAACTCTTTCCACCACATCAAAGACAAAAGAAAAAGAAAAAAAACACGCTCAGGGCTTTCCAATAGAATTTTCTTAATGGAAAAAATGTTCAATGGCTGGAAATGTTCTACATATGTGCTGTCCAATATAGTAGCTTTTAGCCACATGTGGCTATTGAGCATTTGAAAAGTGCCTGGTCTAACTAAGAACTGAACTTTAAATTTTAATTTAATTACAATAAACATAAATTTAAACAGCTATGTGTGACTAGTGGATACCGTATTGGAAAGCAGAAGATGGTGTGAATAATTGTCACTGGACCTATTCTTTTTTTCTTTTTTTTTTTTTGACACAGAGTTTTGCTCTTTGTCACCCAGGCTGGATGCAATGGCCCAATGTTGGCTCACTGCAGCTTCTGTCTTCTGGGTTCAGGCAATTTTCCTGCTTCAGCCTCCCAAGAAGCTGAGATTACAGGTGCCCACCACCATGCCTGGCTAATTTTTGTATTGTTAGTAGAGATGAGGTTTTACCACATTGGCCAGGCTGGTCTCGAACTCCTGACCTCAGGTGATCCACCTGCCTTGGCCTCCCAAAGTGCTGGGATTACAGGCATAAGCCACCACACCTGGCTATTCCTGCAATTTTTTACACTAACATTTATGTTGAGAAACAAGACAATTATGTCCAAGCATATTCATAATAATCTGCTTCAAGTTGCAGAATACAACCCTTCCTGAGTCTCTTTAGTTACATTCATCAGGGACTAAAGAGCACAGGGGACAGACTTGCTATTAGGAGAGCCAACGATTGACTCACCAACCTTCACCTGATGGAATAAAAAGCCACCTTGCAAACCCTAACATGCTTGCAGTGTCCCTATGTGAATCACCTTCTGCTTCTGTGTTGAGAGGAAGAAAGCAACTTCCAAACATATGGTTTATCATCATGCAGAAGAAAGAGGGGGGAGATGATGGAGTCACTTCTTTTTCCTGCTCATCTACTAGGCTTTCTTTTAAATTTGGAGGGAACTCATCGGCAGATTTTAAAAGTTATTTGACACATGAGCAAAGCATATAAAATGGACAGATTGAAGTGGCTGTGCACTCTTTATATTTTAGTCCTACTTTTTCTAAAAAAGAAACCCATGTATTTATTGTGCTTAATCAAGGTACTGACATTTGGGTATTGTTTAGCCCTAGAGTTTTCATATTGATCCCTCAAGGTGTTTTACAATACCCCAAATGACGTATTGTTATTATCACCTAAGCATTAAAGTGGCCTCCATTCAAGTAAAATCAGTACTCAGTGAGCAGTAATTCTATTGTGTATAATTACGATTACCCATGTCCTCCTAACTTTTAGCCAGTGTTCAAATTTGCTCACCTTCAATCAGACAGCTTTGTTTTATAAATACCTATTCAAGTTTTGCTACTTGGTTCCCTGGGAATTTCATCCATTTTACCGGCTAGCTTGTTAGTGTTCTTCATTTGATTTAATTTGGATATTATTTTCTAAGTATATGACATTGAAATCTATTATAATTATCAGATTCTATCTGCATGATGATTAAGTTCCCCCTTTTTATGCTGATTACTGCTAATGTTTCACAAAAGGAAGCACATTTTACCTGAGCTGCTTTGATTTAAGGATTATGAACTAACACAGTGTTTCTTTTAAAAATGACATAACATTTGTTTGCTTTTTTAAAAGCATCTCTTTTGAAGAATAGAAAGTGGGATAAAGAGATTTATTAGTATCTCAGGAAGCATGTAGTAAAATTAAATCACTTCACATTTTCCATATGCCTAATGTTGCTTTCAGATTTGTGTAGAGTGTACATATAATTTATTGTCCCAAATGAGATCTTTTTGAGAACAAAACAAGGCTTTATTAATAATTAAGCTGGACCAGCAGGTATAAACAGAGACTGTCGCCAGCTAACCAGGACAGAGTGGCCCTGGATTCAAGTATGCTTGAATATATATTTGACGCATGAACAACATGAGTTTGAACTGCGTGAGTCCATTCGTACATGGATTTTCTTTTTCCTTTGCCCCCCCCGAGACAGCAAGACCAACCCCACCTCTTTATTCTCCTCCTCAGCCTACTCAATGTGAGGATGATGAGGATGATGAACTTTATGATGACCCACCTCCACTTAAGGGATAATAAATGTACTCCTCATGATTCTCTTAATTACATTTACTTTTATCTAGCCTACTTTACATTATAAGAATACATATACAAAATATGTGTTAATTAAAATGTAAGTCATTGATAAGGCTTCAGGTCAACAGCAGGCTATTAGTAGCTAACTTTGGAGGGAGTCACAAGTTATGCATGACTTCTCAACTGGGTGCAATGTTGGCACCCCTAACTCCAATGTTGCTCAAGGGTCAACTGTGTTGACCCTTTAGATGGAGACTGATACATGGGAATAGATCCAAGCCTTTCTCCAACTCCTCTATGTTACAAGGGGGCCTGTTATCAATATGAAAGCACTTCCATCCACTATGTGGAGGCCCCATGTAACTGCTTCTGCTTTTATCTCAGGTCTTTTGACACATTTTTATTGTTCAGGATGTCGCTCTGTTTATCCTATTCTTTAAAATGTCATTACCAAACTTCATTTCAAAAATACTCTCCACTCTTTAATCTACTCAATATTTCTCTCTTCTCAATATCATCTACAGTAACACTTGTGAAAATAATTTTTTTGGCCCCTTGGTTTGCACTGTAGTTTTAGCCTGTCATTGTAGCTCATGCATATTTCTTCAGGTTGCATTAATTATTTGCATATCATTCCTTTATCACGGCAGAAGTGATGGCTTTTCCTACATTTGTACTTACCATGAGGCCTGTCACAGTGTACCTCAACATTCTGTTCATTGAGTAAAATACATAGTGAGCAAGTAATTGAGAAAGTTTGAAATCACACAAGAATTACACTGAGGTTATATAACTAAATCAAGATATTATTTACTTTGTGCCTTGCACTTTGATAAATGCTCTAAAATATTATTTCACTTAAGTCCAGACTACACATATGTGACCTGACAATGATGAAGTTGAGATAAAGAAAATTAAATGCTATGTCCTGATTCATAGAGGTACTAATTGGCCAAGCTGAATTCAAACTCAAACCTATCAGACTATGTTGTTGATGCAATAATGTGACCAGCAGCCCCATGGTTATTCATCTAGTCACTTTTGATAGCACTGAACATCTTCCCTGGGTGGTTGATCTCTACTTTCTGTTTATCCTCTTATTTACAACATAGTTAAATATTTTTAGTTTCTTTCAAATTTTCTCATATTTATTCAGGATTTGAGCATTATTCTGACAAACTAAACTACTCCTTTCTAGGTTCATTTCCAGTTTATTCTACCAATATTTCATATTTTAAAATATTTGTTTCTTAGAGTTCCCCATGCAGTCTCCTTGATTTTGGTAACTATTTTGGTATCTTTTTCTCAGTGAGATTGTTCATAATTCTGCAGTTCAATTACTTTCTTTTAACATTTCCATTCTCCTTGAGCAATATTTTATTTCTGAAAAACTGTCCAGGCAAAGAAAATGAAATCACCATCTCATAAAGACATTTGCACTCCCATGTTATTGTCCACAATAGCCAAGATACGGAAACAACCTATGTGTCCATCCACAGATGAATACATAAAAGAATCTGTGGTACATACATACAATGGGATATTATTCAGGCCTAATAAAGAAGGAGATCTTGTCATTTGCCACAATATGGATGAGCCTGGAGGACATTATGATAAATTAAGTAAACCAGACAGAGAAAAAAATATATTGCATTATCTCACTTATATGTGGAATCTTTAAAAATATGTCCAATATGGCTGGGCGCGGTGGCTTATGCCTGTAATCCCAGCACTTCGGGAGGCTGAGGTGGGCAGATCACGAGGTCAAAAGATTGACCCCAACCTAGCCAACAAAACCCTGTCTCTACTAAAAATGCAAAAATTAGCTGGGCGTGGTGGCACACGCCTGTAATCCCAGCTACTAGGGAGGCTGAGATAGGAGAATTGCTTGAACACAGCAGGTGCAGGCTGCAGTGTGCTAAGATTGTGCCACTGCACTCCAGCCTTGCAACAGACCGATACTCTGTCTCAAAAAACAAACAAACAAAAATATGTCTAATATATACAGATAGAGAACAAAACAGTGGTTACCAAGGGTAAGAAAAATGGAGAAATAGGGAGATGTAGGTCAAAGGATATAAAGTAGAGATACATAGGATATTCAAGTCTAAAGATCTAGTGTACAACATGAAGACTATAGGTAATAAAATTTTACTGTGTATGGGATTCATTGTAAACAATCATATTTTAGCTGCTTTAGGCACACAAAAAAGGGGTAACTATGTGAGATGATGCATATGTATGATTACTTCATTATAGTAACCTTTTTGCTGTCTTTATATATCCCATAACATCATGCTGCATAACTTAACTATAGACAATAAAATTTATTACAGAGTAAAAAGAAAGTTTGTTCATGGAAGTAAATCTACCATTTGCCTAATTTTATTTTTAAATCATATTTCCAAAGACATGGTTTCATATTTCACTAGGAGCAGCATCTGCTTCTTGCTTTGGAGAGTATGATCATATGAGGCTGTGCAGAGTATTAAAGAACATAGGCAACCCAGGTGCAAATCCTGACTGTATGACTCTGCTGTAGCCATTATTTAAGCAACCAGGTGATACTTGTCTTAGAAATTGGTCTGTTCCTCTGATTAGAATGCCACTCTTTCAGATTCCCATGTGGCCAGCTTGCTCCCTTCCTTGGGACAGTCACTCAACAACTGTTTCCTTCAGTGACTTTCAAGACCATCATTTAAAAATGACCCCTTCCTACCATACTTTCTAGTCAATATTCTTACCTTCCTATTCTCTATGATACTTATGAGTTTCAGTGCACTCTATATATATGTATATAAACTTATACATTTCTTTCTTAGGTCTCCTCCACAATAGAATTTAAGTCCCAGGAAAGCAAATTATTTTTATTTAGTTCAGTATTTTATCTCCAGTGCACAGAACAGTATCTAGCACATAGTAAGTATTCAATAAATATTTTTGACTGAGTGAATTTTAAAAATTGTATTTTTATCAATCTGCAGAATAGAAGACCAATAATAACAAAGCTTTAACTGAAGTAATGGCATGAAGTTGTGATTGTGGACTTTAAAATCAGACTAAAGACTGTGGGGTGGGGGTGGGGTGCATGTCAACAGATTTCATCATTCTGATTTCCCCATAAATTACTCATCATAGGAAGTAGCCAATAACAAGTTGTGTAAAAGTAGGTGGAACTTGCTATAGATACGACTTTTCCTGTAAAGGAATAATAAAAATAGACCTCCTACTTCTAATTGGGCCAACTTATACTTACTTTAAATATTATATCATTTTATTTCGATTAGGATTGAATTAAAATTAACAAATACTCAAACAGAAAATTACTTTTGGTGTCTTAGCTGAATGCGTGCAAGTCATTCTACATTCTGTCCTTAACAGCAACAACTGTACTAGGATTCACCTCTTTCAGGGCAAAGTCAAAACATGGATTTAATCCAATTTTTAATCAGCTGTACAGATGGGTTTATTTCACAAATACACTATGCTGCACAGATGGAAGTTCCTGAATGCCTGACAAGGTGTTAAAACAGTTACTGATATTACAAAGGAATTAAAAATCAGCATAGGAAATTATAATTAGTAGAAGCTTGGTCTCTGAAGAGTTTATTAGCTCAGCACTTATATTTTGTCCTTGGCACTAAAAGAACACATTTTTTCTGAAGAAAATTTAAAAGTACACTCTAGGCTTATATGAACTTGCATCTTACATTAATTATTTTTTGGCATGTAAGGACTCAGTGACTTTTGTAAAATGCTAAACTGGAAAAAACATATAAATTCATGTATTTTAAAAGGTATTTTCAAGATTTGGATGTTTACAGTGTCATCCTATCTAAAATATAATGATGAAAGCAATACTTCAATCATGAAGCTGGTACATAAGTAATTAACTTACATTACTATATCTTAAGTCATTTCAATAACATATATCACAATAATCAGGAGGAAATGGCTACATCTCTGGCTTAAGCAATCAAAAGCCTGTAGGCACTCTGAAAATCTGCCCTAAACACCTGTGGTTCCTTATTAAGAGCTTATTTTCTTTGTGAAAAAGAACAACTATTAAAGAGATAATATGCTTTAATTATTTTGTTCAAATTAATCTCAATATCAAGCTTCTTGAATTCAGAATTTGGTATTTCAATTCTCCCCAATTTTTCTAACAGGAACCTATCACATCTTGCCTGGTGAGTCCTTCCCTCTTTCCTCCCAGTCCCACTCTATTTCCTCTGCCAACTGCAGACATTGTTAGGAATTAACAAGTATTTTATTTATGAAATGAAAAAGTTATTTATTCCTACAAACTTGGAATTGGAAGAGTTTTAATGGCACAGGCATGCCTAATATGTTTTTAAATTTTTGTTAAGTAGTTTATTAAACATAAATTTATCCTAGTCCAATAAAAGTATCAAGAAAGCAAGGGAGAGTTGAGGAGAGATGGCTGTCAGCAAGCGAATTGACTGATTTTTTTCAATGGGATATCAATCATGGTAATCTCGAAAACAAGGCAGCCCAATATGGTAGTCACAACAAGCAATTGATGAACACCTGAAATGTGACTAGTCTAAACTAGATAGGTGCTTTAAGTGTAAAATACATATTAGATTTCAAAAGAAAAAAAAATTAAACAATGTCATTAATATTTTCATAGCAATTTCCTGCAGAAGTGATGTTTTAGGCATATAGGATTACATTAATATATTATTAAAATCCATTAATTAATTACAATTAATTTTCCTCATTCCTTTTATTTTTACGAATATAGCTACCAAAAAAATAAAAATTATAAGTGTGATTCACATTTGTGGTTCATATTATAATTCTATTTTACAGCAGTGGTCTAGAATTTATTCAGAGAGAATATCTCAAGTAGAGGAGTGTGTCCTATAAGAGGTAATTATACATAACTTCAGTCAGATAAATAAGCTTGCTTTTTTGTCAAATGATAATGGATATTATTAATATTTCTAAATTAATGACCCACTATATAGCTATGGCTCATTTAACATAAATTAATCTAAACAATTTCATGTTTATGTGTTTTATTTTTGCTTTTCCCATTGCAAGAATACAAACTTTCTGTAAAATAGCAAGGCAGGTCTACAGCTAGACTCACAGCAGCTCCATAGACCATTTAGCTTGCTGAAGGTCTTAGTTGCTCATGGATTTCTTCTCGCTGCATGCTACCTTGTCATTTTTCTCTAGTACGTATCTTCTTGACTTTCTACCATTTTGGTTCTTGTCCCTCTCAGTTTTGGCTATTACATGGCCCCAGAATGCTGTTCTCCAGACTCTGCATGTGAATTTATTTTCTTTTGCTCTCAGTCAATTCTTTATTTCACAATTTTCATTCCATAGAGAGGAAATCTGATGGTCCTTGCTCATCTTGTCCTACCCTGCTATAGCTCAAAAGTGACTGGCTAGGCTTTGTATGCTGGAGCCAGGAAAGACAACGTCACCATGCCAAAACAATTAACAGATACCCTGATCATATTCTGAACAGTGTCATGAACAACAGAAGAAATTAAATAAACCTAATTGTAACCAATACATAGTGTCTCCTACCAAAATCAGAAGCTGATGTTTAGGAAAAAGATGTATAGATTTTAATGGTTATTATTTTAAGTAACTCAAATTTATTTACCAAACAAATAAAAACAAATACACAAAACACTCCAGATATATTAAAAAATAAATAAACAAAAGGAATGAGGTGATCTTGCTGTTACAGTTAGCAATGCATAATGTTTGTGTTTCATATTATCTATTCCTTCCTCTAAACATTATACCTCCTCTGATTCTTATATATTTTTTGACTTAGTTTAGGTACAACACAGCAGGATTAAAATGCTTTTAGTATTATCAAACTGTATGCAAAGTCACATATTTATTCCTTTTGAATTCATTTTAGTGATTGCCATATCATTGAACATGATTTAATTTTACCTACGGGCTGAAATATAACAGAATAAATCTCAAAATTCAAAAGGGTAAAATGAGATTAAATAATTGAGAAAACCTTCATAAACAAGATAGATTATATACAAACTTCATTGAGGAGAGGATAGCCATATAAAAATTATTTATTGTAGAAGTTTATCACATCTATGTTGAGGTTGCTGTTTACTGCCTCTAGCGTCTTTCTTGTCTTCCCGCTTGGTAATAGTACTATAACGTTTAGCAAGGTACATTGCCACCAGACATAAAAGACTACACCTGCCAATATCCCTTGCATTTAGGTATTACCAGATGCCTAAATTTGGGTCGCTAAATTAGCAGAAATATTTTATGAGACATCTGAAGTTTTTATTTAAAAACAAACAGTTGGTTTTACCTATTTTCCTTCCTTTGTGCTTCTAGGTACCTGGACTGAAGAAATGAAGTCTAGAGTTCTAAAGACACTCCTAAGACCTGTGGTGAATTTGAGAATGAAAGTCATGTTCCAAGACATTGCCTCAGGACTCGGGCACATCAGAAAGCAATTCAGAAACCCTGGACCACACGTCTTCAGACTTAATTTATGTTCACGTAAAGAAACCTTTATATGTCTTAAGTGAGTGTTATTTTGAGTTTTTCTATTATATGTAGCTGAATTTATTCCTTACTGATACACTGTTACAAACATTAAAATCATGCTCTTAACTCATAAAACCAT